CCTGCCGCTGGCGCCTGCCCCAGCCCATGAAATGCCGGGGCGAGGGAGACGGTTGCTATGGCCGGGTAAATGCGACAGGCTCACTGCGGGCTTTGTGCAGCACCGACACCCACCAGGCTTTGCTTTCGCAGGCCCGTTTCCAGGGAAACAAAAGCCCCAGTTTTCCTCCGAGAGCACAAAACTGGGTTTCTCCTCTCCTCCCCCCCCGGCCAGTGCTGGGCCCCGCACTTTGGGAGCAGCCAGGGAGAAGAGGGGTCTCATCCTGGTGCGGTGATGGAAGGTGGGGAGCAGAGCCCAAGCTGCCCGCTGTACCCTCACCCCCTTGCATCCCCACAGGCAAGCGGGGTCCCTGTGGGGGTTCGGTGGCAGTGGGAGGAAGGGAGCGGGGGCAGCTCTCATGCGCTTGGTCTGTGCTGCTCCGTCCTGAGCCCGGGCCAAGGACGAACAAAGCCAGGCTTGTTGCTGCGGTCCCACGGGGCTGGATGCGTGGGGAGGAGGAGAGCCGGGCGGGGGGCAGAGAGGGCGCAGGCAGCACCATCATCATGGGCTGCAGGCAGCACGTGGCCCCATAGCCGGCAGAACACCCCATGGGCTGGGCTGAACCCCAGCCCTAGTCCCAGCCCTGGTGCCCAGGCAGGCTGCCATAAGGCACAAAGCACAACCCTGGGCAGTCAGTGCAGGGGGCCAGCCCCCCCCCCAGAGGACATGGGGCAGGGGTGCCTCTGCCAGCCATGGCCACAGCCCCCAAGAAGGGGCTGGTGCAGGCAAGGGGGCAGGGAGAGGGAGCAGGAGCAGGAGCCCTGCAGCAACCCCGCTACTAACCCAGCATCGAAGCACAGCCCTGCAGCAGTCCTGGGACATGATGTGGGGGCAGAGGAAGATCCAGCAGCAGCAATAGCCACAGCCGGAGGTCTCTGAGCTCATCTTCGCACCCAGGCCAAGAAAACGAGGCATCTGGAGCCATCAGAGTTGGCTCCAGCAACTCTTGGGTGAGCACCATCATGTGGGTAGCTGGTGCTGCCTGGGGGACAGGGACCCCAGCTCTGTGCTCCGAGGCGTGGGCACAGCCCCAGGAGGGACGGGTGGTGGTGATGGCGAGGAAGCAACGTGACTGCAACCACACCCCCCAACGCAAAATTGTTAATTTATTATTATTAGGAGGCAAAAAAATTGTACAGTTACAAGAATCATTTCCCAACAGA